CCCCCCATCTAAATTTTATCCCTCCTACTTGGGCTTCCAACTTGACCAGAGGCAGCCTGCAGCTAAAAATAATATAAATCTTTTCTTTGCCTGAGTACCATGTGCAGCTCTCTCTTTCCTCAGTTGCTGATTTAATTTACCTGACAATGACATTAATTCTTCCAGACCAGAAGCATGACATATTTTCCCATTTCCTTAAGTCTACTTCATTTTTTTTCAGATTTTCCATTTCATTGTCTACTTCATTTTCTTTTTCAGAGTCTTAAAGTTTTCATAATATACATGCTTCCCATCTTTGGTTAATTCCAAAGCATTTTATTTTTGTGAGGCTATTACAAACAGAACTACTTTTCTGATTTCAGTATCAGTCACCTCATTGTTGGCACACAGGAAGGCTACTGACTTTTGTGAGTTGATTTTATGCCCTGCTACTTTGCCAGAGTTTTGAATCAACTCAGTAGGAATCCTGAGGAATCTCCAAGATTCTTTAAATACAGAATCATAACATCTGCAAATATGAATAACTATATTTCTTCTTCTATTTTGATTCCCTTTATGTGCTTCTCCTACCTTATTGCTCTTGCTAATAATCCCAGGCTTTCCTTGAAGAAGAGTGGATAGAGTGATCATCCATGTTTTGTTCACAAGTTTATAGGGAATGGGTTTAACTTTTCCACATTAAGTATACTTCTAGATCTAGGTTTGTCATATACAGCCTTTATCATCGTGAGGAATGTTCCCTGGATTCCTTGCTTCTGTAGAGCTTTTCTCATAAATGGGTGTTGCATCTTGCCAAACGTTTTCTCTGTGCCTTTGACCTGATCATGTGGTTGTTGTCCTTGTTTATGTTGATGTGGTGAATTACATTAATTGGTTTCCATATATTAAACCAACTTTACAACCCTAGAATGAATCCATTTGATCATAATGTTTGATTTGGGGAGGCAGCATCGGGATCAGTTGTTGAATTCAGTTGGCCAGAGTATTGTTAAGGACTCTTGTGTCAATGTTCATCAGTGATATCAGTCTATATTTCGCTCTCCCTCTCTCTTTTTTTTGATGGGTTCCTACTTGGTTTTCTGATGAACATGATGCTGGCTTTATAGAATGAATTTGGTAGTGATCTTTTCCTTTTTATTTCATTGAAAAATGTGAGGAGTATGGGACTGGGTTCTTCTTTGAAAACCTTACACAATTCAGATGTGAATTCACTTTACCCTGGGCTTTATTTAAATGGGAGGTTCTTTATTGCCATTTCAATTTCATTACTTGTTTTGGGACTATTTATTTGAGTTAAATTTTCTTGGTTCAGTTTGGAGATACCAATGTTATAGGGATGCTTCCATTTCTCCCAGGTTGTCAAAGATATTGGTATAAGGGTCTGAGAAGAATCCCCTACTAATACTGTGAATCTTCCATATTTTTTTTGTGGTGCTCACAATTTCCAATCTAATTTTATAAATTTAAGTGTGTTCACTTCTTTTCTAAGTAGAATTTTCTAGGTGTCAAGTTTGATAATTTTTTCAAATAAATAATTTTTGTTTTGTTAATCCATTCTATGGCATATTTATTCATTAATTCCTTTATTTCTAATTAAATTTTGTTACCTGTTTCATTCTATAAATTTGTCATTTGCTTGTTCCTGCCTTCCCAAGAGTATGAGGTCTTGCTTGTGATTTCCATAAATTCTTACATTAATTTTTGGTTAGCCTCAGGCTGGGAAGTTGACTCAGTGGTAGAGTGCTTGCCTTGCATCCATGAGGCCCTGGGTTCGATTGCTCAGCACCACATAAGCAGAAAAAGCTGGAAATGGCACTGTGGCTCAAGTGGTAGAGCACTAGCTTTGAGATGAAGAGCTTAAGGGCAGCGCCTATGCCCAGAGTTCAGGCCCCATGACCGGCAAAAAAAAAAATTGATTTTTGGTTAGCCTCATCACACACACACAAATTGTCTTATGCATAATTTCAATTGTCATTCATTAAAGTTATCAGCAATGCTTTTAGTGTATTTTTTCAAGTGTCTTCTCAGCACCTATTCATTTTCTCTGCTGTCTGGATATTTTCTGGAAAAAGCTCTTTTAGCCCTAATTCTTCCTTCTGTAAAAGACCTAAAGTAATTGCTGTCTACCGTTGGATTTCAGCTCTACTTAGAAAGAGAGAAATGCTATGCTAAATAAAGAAGAGTTGCTTAGCTTATGTGTTTGTTTTACAAACAACAAATCATCTTGTATAAACACATATTTCAAATAATCATATCTGTAGATCCAGAATACTTACCTTGGAGATTTTCATTCTCAGAAGACTGAGGAAGAGAAAGATGATAAAAGCAGATTCTCAGCTCAGTGTGTCAGAAATCAGGGCAGTTCAGCACTGCAGTTTCCATAGGAATGGTCTGACTTAGGATCCTTTAGAGGAAGACCCTCAGTTGCCAGATGTAAATTAATTCTAGTTGTTACTGGAGTTAAATGCTGCTGTTCCCATCAGAGATGCTTGGATGGAGAACATAATGGGGGATGTAATAATTTTTAGAATTTTCCTGTGTAGAGCAGGTCCTGGTGTTATTTTCCCAGGCACCTCCCTGGCTGCATTTGTTCCCAGGGGTGTTGCTGACCACACATGGGAGATTTAGGGTGAATTGGGTTCTTTGCTGGCACAGGGACAGGTCCTGGTGTTCTTTCCCCAGATGCTTCCCTGGCTCTGTGCCCTGTTGCTGTCAGCCAGCAGGAGTTTTGAGTTGGGAGCTGTAGTTTGCTAGCAGAGGGGCAGAGATGTATTCCAGGGGACTTTCCTCTATAGCTGCAGAAGGGGTGGGAAAAGAATTGTATGTTTTTTTTCTTCAAATATGTTCCCTTCTCCTTCAGCTAGCAGAGGGGTTACAGTTATATAAAAAAAGATAGTGTTCACAATTCTTGTTTAACTTGTAACCCCTCTCTCATTTATCTCCCTCCCTCCTTGCTGCCTCCAAGCTCCCCACAAGTTGTACAGATCATATCCTACATATTGTCTTGTGAGTATTGCTGTTGTGTTGGTTCTCCCTTTGTTACTTTGTCTTACTAGTTTGTTGTTCACCTTGCCTTCTCTAGTTTAGATACATGTATATACAATACCCAGGGTACCAAATTCGAATTCAGTGACTACAGGAAATAAACCAAAGGAGTAACAAACAAAAGAAAAATGGAAATCATGTAGTACATAGACTCAAAATTTACTTTGATATTTCTTGTAGGAAAGGCATGGTGGCGATACATTCTCTTCATTGAGTTTGTCTGGGAACGTATTTATACCTTGTACATTGATAAGGGATATCTTTGTACATACAATAATCATAGTGGATAATTTAGATATTTTTTTCTTCAGTACTGTGAAAGTGTCATGGAATGTTCTCCTGTCTCCTATGGATTCTACAGAGAAGTCAGCAGTTAGGAAAACAGGGGTCCAACTGTAAGTTATGGGTCCAATTTCTGTTTTAGACTAATCTTTCATTTATATGTACTTCTCTTGTGAGAGCTTGTTCATAAGACTGTAGATGTTATGGTCAAAACTTTGATTATACTTCCATTGTTAGGTATTTTCCATTGTGTCCTTGTTTATATTAGGAATTTTAAATTCTTTCACATGCATTTAGAACATGCATTTAACATTTTTGGCATTCTAAACATCTACTGAATCCCAAAAACGGCAATACTTTCTGGAAAATATTCTGGTCAAATTTTGACAAATATTTTTCACACATCTTCATTATAACAGAGTTTAAACCTCTATAGAAATATGTTCAATCAACTTTTCTTCAAGCTCACTATTCTGTTCTGTTTTGAAGTCATCACTAACACAATAGGCTTTCACATATACCCACACTCAATGTTGAGTCATCCATTTTATATTTCCATCCTGCCTTCATTATTTCCAATTTAAAACAATGCCTGTTGTTTTCATTATATTAATTTCTTTAGAATATGTACAGGCACAAACAGACCCTTGCACACAGACAGAACAGAGAGAAAGAAACAAAAAATACTTTGATCCTCTTTATTCTTCTCTTCATTTCTTCTCAGTATTACAATCTGACTATACTGAGAAGAGAGTTGTGATCATAGCATTGAACCATGATGGACTTGGAATTGGGATTTCTATATAAAGCTTGCTTACAATTCTCTCTTCATCACCTATGTTGGAGGTTCCTTTCTCCATAGGAGTTACTTGTAGTTGGATACATCCTGTTTTTGTTACATAAATAATAATAAAACGCCTTCACCTCATATTTGAGCTCTTCTTCTGGTTCATATTGCTGGAAGAACTGTTCAATATTTTGAGTCTGTTAGCACACCCTGGTATAGGTTCTTTCATAAAAGTACCCTTAGCAGGCTAGGAAGGTGGCTCAGTGTTAGAGTGTTTGCCTTGCATGCATATGGCCCTGGTTTCAATTCCTCAGCCCTGCATAAAAAGAAAAGACCAGAAGTGCTGCTCTGGCTCAAGTGGAGAGTGCTAACCTTGAGCTAAGAAGCTGAGGGATAGCACCCAGGCCGGGAATTCAAGCCCCACAATTGGCAAAACAACCTTTTCTTCTGAAAGTTGCTCTGAAATTGTTTATTCATTATACTGGCCTGTCACATAAGTGCATAATACAAATGTAGTGACTCAAAACACAAGATTTATTTTTCACACGGGTGGACCTAATTGCCCTAAGATAAAGGCAACAAAATATTTGCAGTCTCACCAAAACCTAATCCAACACACAACATGTTTTTGCTGGGGTTCATGTGATAATGGGGGTGAGGGAAGCGAGCTCTCTCTCATGGCTTAAAAATACATTTCTCAATATCATTCATGGAAAAATTGCCTTCATATCCTTACCTAATTCTATATACAACCATAAGACATTACATTCGCGTTCCATCCCAACTGGGGATACTGTTTTAATATATTCATTGGCAAGAAGCAAGTATTCAAACCATCAAAATTATGTTTGGAAAAAATGACTCAATTTCTATGCTCATTATGCAGGATCTTGAAGGATTATCAGCTTGTTTTGGCCTTGGCTTTTGCTATTGAGCAGATCAACAAAAACCCTTCTCTTTTACACAACTTGACTCTGGGATTCGATATCTATGATATTCAATTCAGAGGTTGGCCTTTGTTTCTGAATCCCTTCATTTGGCTCTTTGGGAAGCACGAGAATCCAAACTACTCCTGTATGAGAGACAGAAGGTCTATAGCAGTACTTACAGGACCATCAGTAATAACATCTGACCAGATTGGGACATTGCTGGGACTCTACAGATATCCACAGGTGAGGGTAGGAAGTGTAGAAAGAGATAAAAATGCCTAATTTGGTGCCATTTCAGGTGTTACCAGAAAATGATAGGAAGAGACTAGACTTACAAATCTATCAAATTTTGTGATATCAAAGAGTAAGTACTCAAAGCCTGGGGAATCTATCTATCTATCTAAATATCTATATATGTATATTCATTGTTAAAATATAAGAGTTCGAACAGACAAATGGATAATTTGTTGTTTTAAGTTTTTTTATTGTGAAAATACTGTACAGAGGGGTGACAATTACATGGGCAAGATAATGAGTACATTTCTTATCAAGCATTGTATCCTCCTCCTTTGTTTCCCTTTCCCATCCCTTCCCATTCTCCCCCCCACCCTCAACCCAATCCTCCCCACTCCCTCCCACCCCTCCCTGCCCTGCACCAAAGTTGTAAAGTTCATTTTCGACATAACGACTTCTACATCTCATTGTTGCAATGGGTCCACCTGTATCCCTATTTAAACCATTTGTTTCTCCCTTTCCCCTCCACTGAGTCAATCAGAAAAGGTCAGATAAGGTGATGTTAGGGAAATGAACCTTAAGGTATGTATTCAAATGTTTATTTTTTCATGCAATTGTTTCTATCAAATTTATAAGATTATTTCTTTGTTGTTTTGTATGTCCCTCACCCACAGTATAACCCCTGCTTTCACTGTAGTTGATGTTGTTTTAAGTTTATCAATAATTTTCTTTAATAAATCAGAATCTGGATTATGACTTTGCAGTGTGACGAAATATTGAGCAGGGTATTGATGGCTCACACTTGTAATCTTAGCAACTCAGGAAACATGTATCTCCAATTCACTAGGAAAGAGAACAAAATGAAGGAGTCATGGATACAGCCCAAGTCTTGAGAGTAAAAGCCAATTAAATGCAAGAGGCCATTAGTTGGTGCCCCTTAACTGGCATGGGCACACACACATGCAAGCTATCATGTTGAATGAAGTATGTCTGGCTCACAATGAGAAGGGGTCAATGTGTTCTCTCACCTGTGAAAATTAGATCTAAAATATGAATATGTAATATGAAATAAATAAGAACACACATAGCCACTTACATAAATAGATGATTTTTGTGAGTAAAGTATGGTATACATAGGGGTGGAACTCTATGCTGTAATTTTCCGATCTAGTGATATCAGAAATGAATACCAGAAAACTGAAACATACCTTAACAGTGAGCCAGGTGTTAAGACAAAAAGGCAGATGATTACAGAATGGATGGGTGGGAAAAAACATCATATAGTCAATGGACACATGTGAAAATTGAATTAGGAAAGTCACCGAGTGGGTGGGATTGATATAGATGTGAAGTTGATAGAAATAGTAGCAAAGATCAAGAGACACTTTACAAATGAATTCATATGTTGTACAACAACTAAAAAAAATTAAATTATTTTTCAAAAATTATATAAAAATCTACCTTCTATCAACTGATTCTTAACAAACTTCAGAGATTGTAATGCATGGTGATCTTCTCATTCATGGATCATTCAACTTTTTACTTTTAGTTTACCATTGGTTCCTTTGATCAGGCCCTGAGTGACCATAACAAGTTTCCTGCTCTCTATCAGATGGCCAAAAAGGACACCTTAATAATCACTGCTATGGTGCCCTTACTGATTCACTTCAGCTGGAACTGGGTGGGGCTGATGACCTCACAAAATGAGAATAATGTGTCAGTTCTTGATGAATTAAAAGAAGAGATGGCCAAGAACAGACTTTGTGTGGCCTATGAGGTAGTGATCTCAAGCCAAGACCTGCAACATTTATACAATATCATGGGAAATTACAATGGCATAAATGAAGCTTCAGCACGTGTTCTCATTATATATGGTGATCAAGATTCACTAAAAGTTTTAATGTTAGGTATTGAGCAAATACTCATAAAAGGCAAAGTTTGTATCATGAACTCACAGTGGGATTTCACCCTGAAAAGGAAATATTTCATGCTAGGCTCATTGCATGTACCTCTTATTTTTACACACCATTATGCAGATGTTTCTGGATTTACAGACTTTGTCAAGGCAATTCATCCTTCCAAATACCCTGAAGACTTTGTTCTTGCAAAGCTGTGGTTTCTGTCATTTAATTGCTCAGATTCTGAGTCTGACTGTGTGACATGGGACAACTGTGCTCATGATGCTTCTTTTGATTGGTTGCCTGGGCATATTTTTGACATGAGTATGTCTGGAGACAGTTACAATGTATACAATGCTGTGTATGCTGTGGCTCAGGCTCTCCATGAGCTGCTTCTTCATCAAACAGAAGTTCAAACACTGGGAAATAGAAAAGAAATAGTGCCTTCCCCAGTACAGGTAATGTCTTCTGTTAGAGGGAACACACGCTGAGGAATGACACTTTCTAGAGGGGTTTTTTACTGTAGGAAATTAAATATGCATATTTGTGTATATAAATGAATATATATATATATATACACACACACATTCATATATGTGTTTGTAAACATGTCATAAATATCTTGGTGGTTACTAGTAATGAAAATATATACATATATATATATATGTATTGGAAGTAATTGTCTCAAATATTAAGCTTTCTCCTTTTTATTAACAGAAACTATTGTAAACACAAAATTGAATAAATATAGATTAATGTTAAAAAATTAAATATTTCAGGTGTTTTCAAAACCCTAGGAAATGCTTTATGTTTAAAGGTCTTTGTGGAACTGTGTACATGTGTGCATATGCTCTTAGGGAAACAACAGGCCAGTAACATGGATAAAATATATTCTGTATTTCAATATATTTTTTTGTCTGTTTAGGGGATTGAACTCAGGACATGGGCTATGTCCCTGAGTCTATTTGTGCTCAAGGTTACTGCACAACCACTCAAGCATAGCACTACTTCCAGCATCTTCTGAATAGTTTATGGGAACAAGTTTTCAAGGGCTTTCCTGTCCCAGCTGGCTTCATAGTGAGATAGTCTGATCTGTGCCCCTTGGCTAGCGAGGAATACATTCTTGAGACACCAGCATACTTCTTGTTAATTCCTTTAGTTACCAATAATCTCACATGTCAATAGCTAGTGCTTTGAAAATTATAAATTCAGTTTTTCCATATGAATTTCTTCAGTCATATCAAAAGATGACCAGCAGAACAGAATTATTCATATTTTTCATAAGTGACTTAGATTCATTCAACATTTGGTATTAAAAAATTTGCAACCTAAACAATAGATATTCATAAAGTAGTTGTTGGGGCAAGCTGTAGCAAAATGGTTTCTCTTGAAAAAAGCCCTTCTACTCCTTTTATGAGTACACAGGAAAGGTTATTTTTCAAGATTATTTTTATTCCTCCATATGATTTCTTCTATGTTATTCAACCATTCAGAATCAGATATTAAAAGGCAATTGGTAGCTTTTCTTAGTTTAGGTTTTCTGTCTTAACTTTGGGATGTACTTCACAATAAGATGATGTCTCTCTTTTAGTTGCACCCTTTACTGAAGAGCATCCAGTTTCAAAATCCCAGGGGAGATCAAGTGATTTTGGATGAGAAAAGGAAATTGGAGCCAGAGTATGACATTCTGAACATTTGGAATTTTCCAGAAGGGCTGGAACTTTCTGTGAAAGTAGGAATGTTTTCTCCCTATGCTCCACATGGCAATCAACTGTCTTTGTCTGAAAATATGGTAGAGTGGGCCATTGAAACTACAGAGGTGGGTTGGGTCTAATCCTAATAATTTTAATAACACACAAATAAGCAAAATCTCTCTTCAAATGTATACCTGCTTGAGTTCCAGGAATTTTCTCCCATAATCTTTGTGAATCATGGAATATGGGCCCTATAACACAATTTAATTAATCAACTTCACTTGCCTGCATAGGAACATTATGTTTAATAATCCATCGATTAAAAAATGGACTTTGTGAAATGTTAAGTGTAAGTCTGAACATTTTCTGACACATCATTGATTTTCTTCAGATTCCTCACTCTGTCTGCAGTGAGAGCTGTGATCCTGGATTCAGGAAATATCCTCAGGAGGGAAAGGCTGCCTGTTGCTTTGATTGTACACCTTGCCCAGAGAATGAGATTGCTAATGGGACAAGTAAGTCCATGAATTATGAAGCAATTATTCATCTCTCCCTAGGTTTCCTCAACCCAAACAAGTCAATTCCAAAGTTGTATATTGGGATTACCATGCCTGTTTTCCTTCTCTCTGTTCATAATTTTATTTTTACAAATGGTGATATTGCTTGTTGGAATATGAAAAGTCATGGGTTTGGATTACATATTCAGTAATATTTTCTAGTCTTTTGAAAGTGAATGTAATCTCAAGGAATCCTTCTTATCACTAATCATTAGGACAAGTGTAAACTCTAACATGAAATTAAACATAGTCTTATTAAGGACAATGTTCATCTTAAAGGTTACATTTTACCTACACAAAAAAATGAGACTTGGCATATCTTAATTTCTCAGTACTCAGAACTGGTCTTGGCATGCCCAGAAAGGTGGAGTTAGTTTACGAATTAAGCATGACTTCAGAGTGTCCAAGAGTAGTCACTCTGTTCCCACTATTTAACAGGTGAGCAGGTGACACAAAAAAAATGATGAATTCAAGGGTAATGGACCATGGGGATAAGTGCAAGTTTTACAGAGACATGCAGGAAATTGTATTCTATATGATTACAATTATCAATAGGATTGCAGAACTCCACACCATTCTGTTACTAAGAATGAAACTGTAGAACATTGTTGTTTTAATATTATAATATCCCAACTGTCATATTATCAATACATGTGATAGTCACTGAAGGAAGAAAAGGTTGAATAAAAAAACCCAAATGAAGAAAAACATGGAACTGAGATACAGTTTAGGAAAGAACATATACTTTTATTTTTATACGTTTTTTATTCTAAAAATATTGTACAGATGGGTTATAGTTACGTGAGTAAGGTAATGAGTACATTTCCTCTCTAGCATTGTTGACTCGTCCTTTGCTTTTCCCCTATCATCCCTTCCTTCCTACCTCCCCAACTACTCCTGCTACACCCATCCCCCCAGCAGAAGTTGTAAAGTTCATTTTCAGCATAGTGCCTTGTACATCTCATTGTTACAATGGGTCTACCGGTATCCGTATTTAAGCATTTTGTTTTATCCTTTCCCCTCTCCAAATCAGAAAAGTGTATATACAAGTTGCAGGGCACTGGAATCAAATACATACAGACAAGAATTATACCATGGGGCAGGAACATACAAAAGAAACAAAAAAATCACATAGTATATTAAAGTACATTAAAAACAATAGCAAGCAAGAAAAAAACCCACTTGTATCCCTGTCTTGGGGTTCATTTCGCTTAACATCATGTTAGTTGGTCATATGTACATAAGTTTTGACCTTTTCTGCTTGTATTAGACATATTCTAGTTATTGCTAATAATTGTATGATAGTAAATGCTGACATTTCATAATTACCATAAGTGAAAATTTTCCTAAATTGTGTGAAGAAAAAGAAATTCATAACTAGAACTTACCATAGTGTGCACTTCTCAATAGATAAGGAGCATTGTGTGAGGTGTGAAGATCATCAATATGCCAACACACAGAGAAATCAGTGCCTCCTGAGAGCTGCAAGTTTCCTGGCTTTTGGAGATCCCTTGGGCATGGCTCTGGCCTGCATAGCTCTTTGCTTCTCTATGCTAACTGTTGTTGTTCTTGGAGTGTTTGTCAAACACAAAGACAGTGCCATTGTCAAGACCAATAACCGGGCTCTCAGCTACAACTTGCTCATCTCTCTCATCTTCTGTTTCCTTTGTTCTTTGCTCTTTCTTGGAAGACCAAACAGAGTCACATGCATCCTACAGCAGATCACATTTGGGCTTGTGTTCACTGTGGCTGTTTCCACAGTATTGGCCAAAACAGTGACTGTGGTTCTGGCCTTCAAGGCCACTTCCCCAGGGAGAAGGATGAGGTGGCTGCTGGTATCAGGGGCTCCTAACTTCATCATCCCCATCTGCACACTCATCCAGGCGACTCTCTGTGGACTCTGGTTGGGAACTTCTCCTCCCTTCGTTGAAACTGATGAACACTCTGAACATGGCCAAGTCATCATCCTGTGCAACAAGGGCTCTCTCACTGCCTTCTACTGTGTCCTGGGATACCTGGGACTCCTGGCTTTTGCCAGCTTCACTGTAGCTTTTCTGGCCAGGAACCTGCCTGACACCTTCAATGAAGCCAAGTTCCTGACCTTCAGCATGCTGGTGTTCTGCAGTGTGTGGCTCACCTTTCTGCCTGTCTACCACAGTGCCAAGGGGAAGGTCATGGTGGCTGTGGAGGTCTTCTCCATCTTGGCCTCTGGTGTAGGGCTCCTAGGCTGCATTTTTGCTCCAAAGTGCTACATCATCTTAGTAATGCCAAACAAAAATTCTCTCCATGGTTTCAGGGATGAAAAACATGGTAGAAGAAACAAGCATTCTTAAGAGTAAACTCATTTTTTTTATTAGTATACAGAAGTTCTGATTTAAATCCACAGTAAATTTCCCTTCCTGTAATAAACATTATGGATTTTTTAATTTCAATGTGTTAGGACCTATTGTGTGTTTTTGTAGTATTTGTACTCACAAGTGGTGTTGATCACTATTCAAATTGGAATATATATATATATATATATATATATATATATATATATATATATATATATATATATATATATATATATATATATACTTGGATCCAGTTGTGGGGACTGAACTCTGGGCCTGGTCACAGTCCCTCAGGCTTGTGCTCTACCACTTGAGCCACAGTACCACTTTCTTCTTTGTCTTTTTGCATATATGGTGCTGAGGAATCGAACCCAGGGCCTCATGCATGCAAGGCAAGAGCTTTACCACTGAGCCACCTTCCCAGCCCTCTTTTCATATTTTTATTCTTCCAATTTAATCAGGGCTTTATTCTATCATCTCCTCTTCTTAGTGTCTTCTCTGTTGTCTTTCAATCACTTTTCCAAATTTTTAAGTATATTAACTTCCTCTTGCACACCACAATTTTGTAAAGTCCTCTAATTTATATTATTAATGTTTTCCTCTTCACAAATTTTCATCTTTTAATATCATCCTTGGAGAATGTTTGGTTCAATACTTGTACATTTCTACTCACACATTCACTTTTTGCAATAATTCTGAAGATCTTTTTTGAGACCTTTCTCTATGTCTGTCTCTTTCTCTTTGTCTCTCTCTATCTCCTCTTCTTCTCTCTTGCACTACTCCCCTCAGATAACTTTAAAAATGACTGTACACATTAGAAAAATATGCTTATTTTTAAGATTACAATGTATCAGATTTTTTTACTGTTAATATGAAAATGTCTAATGCATGATAATTTATTCCTCCATGCCTAGATATACTTTTTAAATTTATTGTTGTTGAATTAATCTTTATTACTTTGATACATAAAATTGTGAATATTAAAGTATCTAATATCATTTGGTATAATGTTTTCACTTCTTACAATCTGTTGATACATCAACATTTTATCTGTCACTTTTCAAACTCTTAATTTGATCAGGAAAGCACTAGTTTGATGTACTAGCTTCTATCTATTTTCACATGTTTACATATTTAAGGCATATTTAAGGTATATGGGCTACAACTTACTTTACAGTTCATAACGTGTTTCTTCTGATATTAATTAAAGTTATTTATGCATGCTTCAATTCATGGCTTAAACTGCCCCTTGCCTTTATCACTCAATACCGCTTCCCCAGTTGAACTTCTATTTCTACATTTTTGTTATTTAATTGCAAAGAAGAGTCTCATTGACTTTACTGCCCAGGCTGACTTCGAAACTCTTCTCACATTTACATTTCTAATAAAGATATAACTATGTAATTGACTATGGTTTTCTATTATGTGTATTTTAGTTGAAAGCATAACATGGCATTGCAAAATATGCTATGTGCATATTCTTTTGTTGAGGACATGCTTTTTAATTTTTAATATATATTGTATTTTAAAGATACTGTACAGAGGGGTTACAGTTACATGAGCAAGGTAATGAGTCCATTTCCTATTGAGTATTGTTACACCCTCCTTCGTATTTCTCCTACCATCCCTTTGTTTCCTCATCCCCAACTCCTCCCTCCCCCCCCAAAGTTGTAAAGTTTTTTTCAACATATTGCCTTATACATTTCATTGTTACAATGGGTCATCCAGTATCCTTATTTCAGCATTTTTCTATGTCCCTTCCCCTCCACAAATTAGAAAAAAAATGTTTATACAAGATGCAAGGCACCAGAATCAAATACAGTGACCACAGGGGTTGTACATAGGGGAGAATTACAAAAGAAACCAAAATCACATAGCACATTAAGAACAGCGACAAAGATAAAACCTGGTGTCCCTAAAGCAGAAGAGGTAAAAAGCTATTACATATGACTATATAACCTGATGCTAAGAGGACATGCTTTTTAACAAATGAAAATGTAATAAATTTCCAACATGCTTACCATGTTAATCAAGATATAATCATAATATTCTTCAGTTTCTATGGAGTTTTTGTCTTCTTTGTTTTTTATTGTGAAAATACTGTACAGAGGGTTTACTGTAACATGAACAAGGTAATGAGCACATTTTTTTATCAAGCATTGTTGCCTCCTCCTTTGTTTTCCCCTACCATCACTTCCCACCCACTTGCAAAACTACACTCCCCCTCCCAGCCTTAATTGTTAAGTTCATTGTTTAACAGTGTCTTGTACATCTCATTGTTACAATGGATCAACCTATATCCCTATTTAAACTTTTTCTTTGTTCCCTACCCTCCCCAAAGTATACCAACATCAAATACAGTGAAGAGAGGAGTTATACCTTGGAGGAGGGACATACAAAGCAATAAAAAAATCATATGGTACGTTTTAAATATGTTAGAAACTATAGAAAGAAAAAACACTTATGTCCCTATCTTGGGGTTCATTTCACTTAATATCATCTTATATGGTCATAGATACTTAGTTGTTTACCTTTTCTGCTTGTCTCAGACATATACTAGTTATTACAAATAAGGGAAACCATAGGACCTATGTCTTCTTTATTTAGTTTATGAATTTCATTAATAGGTTTGAATTTACATTATTGAGTAAACTTTTGAATCCTATTGTGTGATGTGAAGTTGTAGGGATAACATATGATTTTAGTGTTTTTGCATAATAATTTGTATTCCTTGCTAATTTTTTCTTAGCTGGGATACCAGTAAACTTACACAACACTTGTTTTTTTTCTGTTAAATGAAGAAAGAAAAAGAATATACCTGTGGACGGAATGATGTGTTGAAGAAAGAGTAGATGGATAGCAGCCAAGGAGAAAGTTAATGGCACCTAAAAGATAGTTCTTGGATAAATAGAATGACAGAAGTAAGAAGAATGACAGAAGTAAGAAGAATGAAAGAAGAAAAATGTAGAAAAATGAAAGTTTTTTCTTTTGTATTACAAATTTTATTCATAGGAAGCAGAATAGATTTGGACCCAATCTTCCTGGTCTGTGTGTGTGTGTGTGTGTGTGTGTGTGTGTGTGTGTGTATGTGTTTGTGTATGCATTATGTGGTATTGGGAATAATATGGTGTATGTTTTACCTGACTTTTTGTTGCTTTCAATGGGTTTAAATATATTCTGCCAATTATTAGGGAGTTCCATACACATGAATGAAAATAAAATAATGGAGGCTATGAAGATCAGTTAAATTTTTAAAGGAAATAGAAAAGTAATTGGCAAAGGCTCATTCGGTCAAAAGATGTTAGGTGCCCATATAAAACTAACATAATCTAGCTTACCTATATGGACAAGTTGAAATTCAAAATAATACAAAACATAAAATTTAAAAATCAATCTAATTCGAGTTGGAAAAATACCATCTCTCTTCTCTTTTTGGAGCAAACTTTTTTTATTGTCAAGGTGATGTACAGGGGGTTACAGTTACATAGTGAGGAAATAAGTATGTTTCTTGTCAAATGTGTTACCCTTTCCCTCATTTTTCTCCTTCTCCTGCTTTCCCTCTCCCCTTTGCATTGGTCCCTCCCTTGTCCTTTGTCTCATAATTCTGTTGTTCCCTTCCATAACTCAAATATATGTATATATAATACCAGAGTACCAAAATTAAATACAGAGAAAACAGTGCATATTCCATAGGGAGAAGAACATACAAAAGAAACAAAAAATTACATAATACATTAAAAAACAACAACAAAGAAAAACCTCTTGTGTCCATGTCTTAGAGTTCATTTAGCATAGCATCAACTTATATGGTCATAGGTACACAGCTATTGAACTATTCTGCTAATCTTCTGAGATTATCCTAGTTGTATACTAATTATTACAAATAAGGGAAACCAATTTTAAGGTAAACAATTTTTAATCCATTAAAATAAAAGCAACAAAATATTAACTCAAGGTACATATCAATATGCCTTTAAATGTTGCCTCCACAAAAACAAAGAGGTAGGATTCAAAAGAAAAGATCTGTGAATGACCTCTTCCATGAAAATAAAGCTTTGGAGTAAAAGAAATTTGATAATAATGAGAAAGTAGAAAGACATACTGTGTTCAGAGATTGCTACTATTAAAATTGTGAAAGTGACTATATTCCCAAAAGCACACTATAGATTCCATGTGCATTTTTGGGGAGGAATAGAAAAATTAATACTAAGCCGAAGCCAGTGGTGAACTCTGATAATCCTCGAATAAGAATAAGAAGTCTTGGAATCTAGGCTGGGAATAAAATGTTTATGGCATTTCTTACCTAGGTGGGGTGGCAGATGTCGGTCATCCCAGCTCTGTAAGAGGTGGAAATTGAGGAAATGAGAGTTACAGGGCAGTCTATGCAGATGTTAGTCACAACAGTGGTGCATGCCTATAATCACAGCTATGATAGGAATGTAATAAAGGATTGAAGTCCATTTGTTGGCACTGCTAAGAAGTGAAAACTTATCACAAAAATACACAAAGTGAGCTGGGTGTTGGTGACTCATGCCTGTAAGTCTAGTTACTCAGGAAGCTGAAATCAGAGCATTACCTTGTCACCACCAGCCCAGACAGGTCAGACCTTGAGCTTCTTATATCGATTTAATTACCAAGAAGCTGCAAATGAAGCTATGGGTCAAAGTGGTAGATCATTAGCATTGAGCACAAAAAAAACAAGAACAATACTCAGGTCCTTGTTCCCAAGAAAAGCACCACTAAAATAAAACCAAATCAAAACAAACACAAAACTCCCCAAAGACAAAAACACAGAGCAGAAGAAACAAAGCAGGATTGCAATAGATTTATATAACCTTAATCTGTGTGTGTGTGTGTGTGTGTGTGTGTGTGTGTGTGTGTGTTTTGCGTCTGGTCATGGGGCCTGAACTCTGGGCCTGGGCGCTGTCCCTCAGCTCTTCAGCTCAAGGCTAGTGCTCTACCACTTGAGCCACAGCGCCACATCCGGCTTTTTCTTTTTTTTTGCTTATGTGGTGCTGAGGAATCGAACCCAGGGCCTCTGGAATGCAAGACATGCGCTCTACCACTGAGCCAACTTCCCAGCCCCATAACCTTAATCTTCACTGTGGGAATCCTCCAGTAAAATAGCCAGTCTCACACATGACTTACAGCAGAAGTGCTAAGAAATTGACAGCAGGTTCATATTCAACATAGTGTCTTGTACATCTCATTGTTACAATGGGTCAACCTGTATCCTTATTTCAGCATTTTGTTATTTCCCTTCCCCTCCCCAAATTAGAAAATTCTATATACAAGATGTAGGGAACCGACATCAAATACAGTGAATCCTAGCGCTGGTGGCTCACCCCTATAATTCTATCAATGCAGGAAGGTGAGATCTGAGCATCCCGGTTCAATGCCAGCCCAGGCAGGAAAGTCTGTGAGACTCTTATCTCCAATAAACCACTCAGAATACTGAAGTGGTGCTGTGGCTCAAGCAGTAGAGTGCAACCTTGAGCTGAAGAGCTGAGGGGCAGTGCCCAGGCCCAGAGTTCAAGCCCTGACCAAAGAAAAAACCAAAAAAAAAAAAAAACCAGCGAAAACAGGGATTATAAGGGAGGTAGGGGTGCACAGGGGGGGGGGAACATACAAAGAAACAAAAATATCACATAGTACATTATAAGTACATTAACTTGTGGGGGGAAGGAGGAGTTGGTGAGGTGGAGAGGGAAGGGATGGTAGGGGTAAAACAAAGGAGGTGATAACAATGCTCAAAAGGAAATGTACTTATTACCTTACTCATGTAACTGTAACCCCTCTGTACAGAATGTTTCAATAAAAAAATCAAAAAAGAAAATGACAGCAGAAAGCAAAATAGTCTGAAACCATCAATAGCCTCAGAGCATATTTCAGATAGGGTAAATAAGATGCCCATGGCAGTTGTTGCATCTTCTGAACTCCTAGAGAGGAACAAGCTTCAGTACACCCCATAGAAAGACTTTACCTTAGCAGAGAAAGAATGAACATACCTACATAAGAGCTGAAAGAGAAACAAAGGTGAGAGACCTCTGGTGGGCAGAATATTGGGGCCACCTAGATCCCTAAGCTTTTTATTTAGCTTTGGGGGGAATCAGAGCTAAGCAGCTTCCAAGGAGGAAAATGTTGGTCAAGAGCAAAATAAACTGTGAATTGACATTGACTTGGATGAAGGGAAAGCCACAAATTTGGTAAGAACTATGTTACACTGGAGGTGGGGCGCTAAGGGCTCAGACCTCTAAAACTTTCTTTGGAGATTGACTTGAGCTCCTTTGCTGGAAAATAAGAACTAATAGACTCAATTCTGGAATGAAATCTATCAAATGCTACCTGCTACATTAAAACTGTCACTCTTAGCAAATGGGACTGTGATATTTTAAAAAATAATCATAAACAAAATGTACACAGTTGCAGCAAAGTAGTCTACAAAACAGCAATCACCAGACTGAGGAAGAAGTCAGGGAAACCATTAAATTCCTAATGGTTCCCAACACAAACTATCTGAATTACCTAGGAATGAACATAACCAAGAAGTGAAACAGATCTAACAAGAAATCCAAAAAATATAACAGATAAAAGAAATGAAATATCTGCATTTGTCATGGATTGGATAAGGAATATATCATCCAAAATGATATATAGATGCAAAGCTATCCTTATAAAATTCCCAGACACTCTTCATAGAAAGAGGAACTTCACTCCTAAAATGCATATAGAAGCACACACAATAAAGCCCAAAGCCAAAGCCATCTTAAGCGAAAAGAGTAATTCAGGAGTGATTGCAATACCAGACTCCAAATTATACTGAAAAGCACTAGTAACAAAGTCAGCATGGCACTGGCCAAATTTCACACATGAAAACCAACAAAACAAATCCGATGAACTGAAGATGAATTTCACAAAGGAGCCTCCCCCCATTCACAAATATGCACACTCAAGGAATGTATCACTGAATTAAAACTCACAGAACTAGATATGTACAGGTAGGAGATGGAAAACAAGACTCTCTCTGTCTTTCTCTCTCTGTCTCTCTGTCTCTCTGTCTCTCTGTCTGCCTGTATTAATGTAACTTCAAAATGGGGAAAGGACATTGTTAAATTAATTTAATTTTTATTATATTAAATAAATATACAAGGGTGTTTCAATTTAAATCATCCAATTATGTACATCTTGATCAGGTCACCTCTGACACTTAGCTGTCAGGAAGAATGAAATTATGTCATATGCAGGAAAATGAATGGCACAGGGTTTTCTTAATATTGGATAGATAGACCTAAATATACACATAAGTACATACTGTGCACACACACAACTTCATTATAATCATGGCACCATTTAAAAGCGATATGGGGAAGGGAGAAAAAACTAGAATTGTTAAGGGTGAACAACATCAAACTACTTTATATTTGTTTATGAACATGGGATAACTCAGTGAAAGCTGAGTGGGTAGGGGAGATGAGGAAAGAGAAAATGTATGAGTCTATTGAAAGTATAATGACATTTTCATCTTGAGGCCACTTTGGGCAATTATTGTACCTTAAAATGAATGGTGTGAGTGTAACTGAGTTGTTGTCACTGGGAGGCAATGGATAGATGAAGGTGAGTGAATGTAGATGCTGAAGGTGGCTTACCAAGATTAAAATATTAATACTTATGCTGGAAAAAAAAGAAAACTGTTGAAAAGAAAACTGTTGCTTTCAGAAGGGAGAAAACAGATGAGTGTTATGGAGAGTGTGAGTCAGATTAGGACAAATTCACACAGGCTGATGCCCCAAAATAATACCCTCTTATCAAACGAATATAAACCACTAAATGCCTAAAAACAATCTTACAAATGAAATAATAATTTTAGTGACATGGAAATTCATCAGAACCTGTTTTGCTTACAACTACAAGAATTTGCTGAGGCATATTAATTTACATAAAAATTGAGCAGAAAGCACAAAAAGTTTCTGTGCATTCCACATTCCTCACTTTGGCCCTGTTTCTAACAACAGGTGGTTAGAATGGCTTGTGCATATTAATTTGTTATTGTGATGTTTTGTGGCTACTATAGACAGCACATGTGTGAAGTGTCCCTGGGTTTTATCTGGGAAACCATGTCATCCTGTGACTTTGGATGAAGTCAATGTGGTCTTGCTGTGATGATTTCACTTGTACCTGGACATTACATTATAATATAATCTAACTGCAACCCCCAAATGGCCTTCACACAAGTGCTTTCTTGACACAGGTTTGAGACTAAATCTTAGGCCTCACTATCTGTGGGCCTAGATGAAATCATAGCACCTGGGCTGGAGAGGAGGATCTAGAAGCGTATTTTCCAACCTCTATTTCTTTCCTGGATTCAGGGCCTCTAATGAAGAGCCCAAGGGCTGAAGGTTTTCCACATTGCTATAGGGGACTCCAGGAAACTGTGATGAGAGGAGCTGGGTTAGAGTGGCCATCTGTATCAAGAAAAAGACACGTATGCACAAACACATGAAGTTCCACTTCCCACCATGATGCCAGCTCATCAGCAACTGCTGTAATGTTCTATTTGATTTTCACACTCTTTCATCTTGAACTTCCCTTTCTTCTCAGTTCCTTATCCAGTGCTAGTATGAGAATCCATTGTTTCCATTTCTTGTTAACCCCCACCCTCAGTCTGGAAACTGCATGTATCTCTGGCCTCCAGCTACATCAGCAAAGTCTGGTCCACCTGCTCCTGACCATATCTATTGATTTACCCCATCACCTAATTATCTTTAATGTTCAGCAGCTGTAGAAAAGTTCTTCTCCTAAGGGCTTAAATGGCTCCAGGATCTTTGATGATCACCAACTGCAGAAAAATACGCTTGCTTGCTTGCCAAACCACCACCTGAGGTTTCCACACTTTTCAGATTCTCTGTCTGGTAAATGGACTCAGAGATTGTGGTTCCTTTGGGCAGCAGTCACACATGGTGGTTTCTCAATTCTGACCAGGAAATGACCACATCCCTCACTTTGGTAGATGGGTATTCCCCACCTGAAATCTATGGAATATTTTTAAATGCTGGGTGAAACATTTTGAAGAATTCAGCAACTCTGACAAGTGAAGTCTAGTTATAAAACACCTTACAAGGTGTTTTATAAGGTCACAATTCCAATATTTTGTCCCCAAATGGCATTGGAAATTACAACTCTACACATAATGATTCTAGGGAGATAGAGAAGCTGCACTTGTTACTTGAGTAAGAGTTATAATTTTCCATGTATTACTTGTATTGAGCAGAAATACACTGTTTCCTAATAGAGTACCTGGAAATTGGGAAATATTATTTTCTTTATTTCAGATAAGTCAAACTTTATTTAAAACTACATTTTAAATTTAATGTTACCAAATATCCCTTTAGCACACTGTAATTCTTAAAAAATACTAAATGCTAAATGTGTCACCATAGAAGATTCCTTTCTTGGAGTCCTTCAAGCAACTTCTGGCTTGAAGGAGACATCTATTCGATGATCCAGGCAGTTTACCTACGGGTGCAAAGTTTCCACCTAAGGACATGCAAAGGAGAACATGTGCTCATTAAATGGTTCCACACATGGGCCTTCTCTCTTTATGACCACTTTGCAGCCATTCTCCTGGATACAGTGGCCAGGAATTGCAGGATACCCTAAGTTATGAATGATCCCAGAAATTCAGCAGATAAAACTTAAGAGAAATGACTGCTTTACAGATAGCAAAACAATGAAACATTTTGTATAGGCAATCACTTCCTATTTAAAACTTCAAATAGCTCAGTAAATAAGAACAAAATTTAACAAATGGGATTACATCAAACTTAAAAGCCTTTGGCAAAACAAAGTAAAGTGTTATTGGACTGAATAGATGGCTGGCACAATTTGCCAACTAAGCATCTTGCAAATAATTCATAACTAGAATATACAGGAAGTTCAGAAAACTAAACTCCTAAAGCACCAAAAACCAATGAACAAATTCACAAACAAACTTAAAGACACATTTCAAAACCAGAAGTATGAATGGCTAATAAAGGAAATGCAAAACCAAATAATGCTTACCTTACTCTCACTCCAGTGACAATGTCTATCATGAAGAAGTCAAATAAGGAATGTAGGTAGGAATGTAGGGAAATGGGACACTTACACACTATTCTTGGAAATGCAATTTCATGCAACCACCAAGAACAATAAGTATGTAGGTTCCTCAAGAAACTCTACATTTATTATGCATATCTAAGTATATCCTCTGCCCAGCTGACAAGTACTACTAAGAATGTTAAAAAAAGTGATAAATCTCATATATCATAATGAATATACAACTGTAAAAAATCAGTGGCAATCATATTAGAAAAGATTTTTCTTTTAATCCTGCATATTTAAAGTATACATATGATGTGTATTTTCTGACACCCAGTATATGATTGTGAACAAGTGTACCAAAATATGCATCCAACCCAACAGCCTTGTGAAGGGTATGTCGGCTGCCCTGAAGTAGCTCTGTTCAATGGGGTAACTGATGTCTCTGCATGGAATTCAGGTCTAACATATGTTGACAGCTTGAAAACATAGAGTTACTTTTGATATTGATTGAAGTTTGTGATAGAGAAATATTTTCTCAATCACATGTTTTCAACCCAATGCATCATGAAAACGTCTTGATCTATGTTAGCAACATAAATAATAATTGTCTGCCTGAAGGCAAAATTTCAGAATGCACAAGTGGAACTCAATTTTAGCACTGACCATGAGTTATAGACATTTAATTGCTTGTCTCAGCAACATCATTGCTTCCTCAGGCAATCATAAATTGCTGCATTTCTGGAATCCTCTGCACATGGAATTGTTATAGGAAGATGCCATTATCTACCACCTATGTTCTATGGTGGTTATAGACATTGTGTATGTGAATTGACACTTTTAGGATGATGCTCTCAGAACTTTAGTTGACATCTCACAGACATAGACTTTTTGTGGACATTTCACCATGCACAGGACATGGCATCCTTTGAAGCGATCCAGCTGCATCATCCCAAATAGCTTTCATGCAAACAGGTTATATATATATATATATATGTTTTTTATTGTGAAAATACTGTACAGAGGAGTTATGGTTACATGATCAAGGTAATGAATACATTTCTTATCCAGCATTGTTGCCTCCTCTTTTGTTTTTCCCTTACCATCCAGTACCTCCCATCCCCTCAACTACACCCCCCACCCGCTCATACCCCTACCCCAGCCTAAATTGTAAAGCTCATTTTTGGAAATAGCGTTTTGCACATCTCCTTGTTGCAATGGGTCAATCTGTATCCCTATTTAAATATCTTGTTTATAGCAGCATTATTTACCATAACTAAGCTATGGAACCAACTCATATGCCCCTCAGTAGATGAATGGATCAAGAAAATGTGATATATATATATATATATATATATATATATATATATATACACACAATGGAATTTTATGCCTCCGCCAGAAAGAATGATATTGCCCCATTTGTTAGGAAATGGAAAGACTTGGAGAAAATTATATTAAGTGAAGCAAGCCAGGCCTAAAGTTTCCCTTATTTGCAATAACTAGGAGATGTCTGGGACAAACAGAAAAGCTTAGATAAGATGATGTGAAGTGAAATGAACCCGAAGATAGGGACACAAGTGGATTTTTTTCTTTCTTACGATTGTTTCTAACATATTTATAAGGTACTATGTGATCCTTTTTTGTTGTTTGTATGTCCCTCCCCCATTGTATGACCCATGTTTTCACTGTATTTGATGTTGGTATAATCTGGGGAGAGAAAGAGAAAAACAAAATGTTTAAATAGGCAAACTGTTTCTTGACACAAATGTTGGGCAAAAAAGACTTACAAGATAACTCTATGTCTTGGGCCTCACTATCTGTGGTCTTAGATGAAATCATAACTCGTGTGGTGAAGAAGGCAAATCCACAAACATGCTTCCAACTCATGTTTTTCTCCTAGCTATTGAGCTCCAGGGCATAGTTTTACACAGTACTTCTGGGGACTCACAAGAAGCTTTGATGAAATGTTAGTTATACTGTAGATCTCTATCAATAAAAAGACACATAGACACAAATAAAAAGTCTATGCATATACATATGCATATATATGCTGTATATGATATTCATATATATATGACATGGGGCCTCACTTCCTGCCAGAATTTCAGCTTGGCAGAGGCTTCAGGGATGTACCTTATGCTTTTCACACTCCTTCTTCTCCAGCTTCCCCTCCTTGTCAGGTTCTTGGCTGACACTAGCTGCTTTTCTACTATGAAACACCGAGCACACATGGATGGAGATGTGATGATCACTGGGTTTTTCCCTCTCAACATTTTCGGGATAGATCACAGTAACAGTCATGATTCTAGTCAAGAAGAGCACAAGCTGTACTTCAGTAACTCATCATTTTATTCCCATTTATTGTTTGAATTTCAGGGCTGGTCGATGGCTGAGGAAACTCTAGGTGCACACATCAATGATCTGTCCCTCTACACTGATCTCCATCCCTGTTGCAACAGAAGTTCAGTTTCATTATTTTGTCTTACATCTACTCTTGAGTGATTTTCTGCCTGCTAATAGGAGAAGACTCTATTTCCTTCCCTGTAGCTTCTCCTTTCCAGGTCAGGAAGTTCTTCACTTTACTCCAGTATGCCTGTATCTCTGCTATTTCAGCTGTGATTGCAGAAAATGAAGTGATGTCATTACAATCAACCTGAGTCACTGGTATGAGATTTGTACTAAAAGGCTGCAGCTATATTTCCTGCCTCCTTGAGCAAGTAGTCAGAGAACCTTCCTTTAGTAACACTGATATTTTGAGAACATTAATAAAATTTCATAAGGTATGCTGATGGCTCATGCCTGTAAATTTAATTACTCATGATGCTGATATCTAGGGATCAAGGTTTCAAGCTAGCCCAGGCAGGAAAGCCTGTGAGGTTTTTTTTTACCTCCTATTAACGAGCCAAAAGCAGGAAGGGAAAATGTGGTTCAAGTGACATTGTGTCCAGGCACTGATTTCATGTCCTAGGACTCTCTCTCTCTCTCTCTTGCGCTCTCACTCTCTCCCTCTCTCTCTCACTCTCTCTCACACACACACACACACACACACACACACACACACACACACACACACACCACATGCCCACTGTAGACAATTAGTACTCTTTCAAAATAAGCCTCGTGTCATTATTTTATGTAAGATATGCTGTACAACCCATGCCTTACCAGGCAGATTATCATTATAAATTTCACTAATTGCAGAATTTTATCTGCTCTTGGTGAGTTCTACTTTTCCTGTGTTCATTCATGTTCATGACTTTTGGTCTACAGCAGAGAATCTCACTAATAAGTGGCTATACAAAAATAAAAAAAAGAAAAGAAAAATGACTGTTCTGAACTTCAAAAAATTCTAGCAAACTATCTGATTACTATTGCAAGAGATAATGTCATTGTGTCCATCATTTCCACTTGTTTACAGTGCTGATGTGATAAGTAGACCCTGAGCCCACTATTGAGAGCAGTGTTCCCAGGATAGGAATTACTCTCTACTGTGCTATAGAAGATATATATTCTTATTTTATATGTCAATGGTGTGTTTGTCTTTCTTTTGTGCTAGTCTTGGGAACTTAGGGTCTGGGTTCTGTCCCTGAACTCTTTTGCTGAAGGCTAGTACTGTAGTCTTTGCACTCCAGCTCCACTTGTGCAATATTTTGGTACTTAAATGGAGGTAAGAATCTCACAAACATCCCTGACTAGCTACCTTCAAAACATGATCCTCAGATCTCAGCTGTTTGAGTACTTAAGATTACAGGCATGAGTCACTAGTTACAAGCTTAGCCTATTATTTTTAATCCTCACTATTTACCCATATTTATCTGATTTTCATTCTGTTAATTTCTGAAAATATATTTGAGTACTTTTGTTAGTGTGCTAATACAGCCATACTGAGTATTATGAATTCAGCCAATGGATGTGTCTTAGCTACCCACACAAATTATGTAAAGCCTGGTCTGGGTTAGTAACATTTTATGTATGCTATTGAATAGATAGAAATATTTATCTGCTAAGCTTTTTCTTGCAGATAAATAGAGCACTGCGATTAGACATCAGTAGATGAGAGATTTGACTCAAGTGTACACCCACTGATATTGCAGTGATGTTTACCAATTTTTATACAATATATGCTTGTGCCAAGCATACACTTCATATTGCAATTCCACACTGCAGGTCATGTACTTTGATTATATTCCAACACATTTTTATGACCATGTTTCATAACTTGTCACACAGCCTTTTTTCTCTCCCTTATTTCTAATTTCTTCTGCTTATTTTCAACTTCTCAAGTAACCAGGAACAAGCCACTGGTCATTCACTTGCTTTGAACTCTTGATTCGAATTTTCTCTCAAAGATGATACTCTACCACTTGAGCTTTTCATATCTGCTCCTATCTTTTTGTTGGTTAACTTGAGATAAATAGTTTCAGGGACTTTCTGCAGCCGGTTGCTTTGATGCAGGATCATGACTCTCAACTTCTGTTCAGTACAGATTGGATTACAGGCATAAGTGACTAGTTAAGTTATTTTTCATTTTTTGAAGACTCTCCAGGCTTTAATTTTTATATATATTCCCCAAAACTACAATTTCTGTCAGGGTTGATGGGTAACAGTGGTGTTGTGATTGTGGAAATCATTGAAAATTTCTTTAGGTACTGATTTCCATTCATATAATTTTTGAAGCAATTCATTGCATTTTTAACTGCTATTTAAGTTTTAGAATTGTTTTCCAGTATGCTATCAGTCCTTTGTGAGATAAATAGCTAGCAAGATGTTTAACTATTTGTTTGTCTATGTCACCATTTCTTTCATTGTGCTGAAGGTTTTCAATTGGATGCAATGACAGTTAGTTTGCATTTCCAGTGCTAGGTGTGGTATTTAGGGCCCTTCAAATGAGACAATTATGAGCTATTTAAGTTCTACTTAAGTCATTTCTGTAAGTATGGTTTCCTTCATTTTCTCTATTACTTGCAAAGCTCTATTAAGACTAATAAGGAAACAAGCTGAGGCTCAAAGTGGTACATTGATAGCCTTGTACAGAAGAGCTCAAGGGAAGCTTCCTGGCCCTGAGTTCAAGCCTCAAAACCGACAAAAAGAAAAGAATATTGTTTAAAAAGAATTGATTAATTTTTATTTTAAAAATATAGAGTCTAGTTTTAGTATTTCACTCATGGATACCCATTTTCACAATGCCATTCATTCATGCTTAGGCAATTTATTATTTGACAACTTCTCCAAGAATCAAATATCTGTAGTTGTTTCAATTACTTCTTGGCCTTATATTTTTTGATCTATGTGTCTATTTTTTGTTGTTTGTTTGTAGGTCGTGGGGTTTGAACCCTGGGCTTGGGCCCTGTTCCTGTGCTCTTAAGCTCAAGGCGAGCACTCTATGACTTGAGCTACAGAGCCACTTCCGGTTTTCTAGTGGTTTTTTGGAGATGAGAGTCTCACGGATTTTCCTGCCAGGGCTGGCTTTGAACCGGGATCCTCAGATCTTAGCCTCTGTGAGTAACCAGGATTACAGGCATGAGCCACTGGTGATCGGCCTGTGAGTCTATTTTTATCAGTGTTTTTTTTTTCTGCTATTATGGCACTTGTGTTTAAGAGAAAAACAGATATAGGGATATTTCACTATTACTCTGAAGCTACCTCTGGCTAATTGACGAATTCCTTTTTCATAAAATTTCATTTTGCCTTTTCTATTTCTGTGAAGAAACTGATAGCCATTTTGATGGACCCTGAATTGAATCTGTAGATGATTTTTCAATAATGTGGCTATTTTCACCATACTGATTTTGACATCCAGAATAATGGGAGGTATGTATTGATATGCATAATTTTGTTGTTTCTCCTTTGATGGGGAAACATCTTTATGTCATTCTTATCACTTTATTGTTTTTGTAGAACCTCCTTTTTGCTATATTTTGTTTGGGTTGTCTATTTCTCTTCTACTTGATTATTTCATCCCTTCTAATAACTTTGAGATAGTTTTTCTCATTTCTTGAGATGCAGCATGGGTTCCTTGGTATAGTGTCTGTACTCATGATTTAAGCAAAGGCTCTTATACCTTCATTTTATTGCCCTTTTTCTATATCTATAGTGTCTCATAATCTCTTTTCATTTTTTGTTCAAATGGTCAGTTTATTTCTTACAATTTCCCTTGAGAAACAGTTTATGTAATCAAGTATTAATTAGTTAATTAAATTGAATATTTTTAACTACATTAAATTATTCATTTATGGTTGAAAAATAATTAATTACATTTTCATGTTATGTGAATATTTTCAGTGTGTTCCTTGTTGATTTCTAGCTTTACTACAGCGTGATGGGCATGTGTTCTCAATATACTCTTAATACTTTTATTTATTTATATTTAATTAATTAATTAATTTATTTGTCAGTTGTGGGGCTTGAACTGTGGGCCTGGGTGCTGTCCCTGAAATCTTCATCTTAAGGCAAATGCTCTACCACTTAAGCCACAGTGCCACTTCCATTTTTCTAGTGGTTTATTGGAGATAAGAGTGTCACAGACTTTCCTGCCTGGGCTGCTATCCTCAGATCTCAGCCTCCTGAGTAGCTAGGATTACAGGCATGAGCCACTGGCGCCCAACCTAATAGTTTTAATATCTGACTGATTTCATGTCCTTTCATATATATCCCAGAGAACGCTCAGTAAGTTGATGAAAGTTGGTTTATCCAGAAGTTGAGTGAAAGTTTCTATAGTTGTATGTGAGGCTCAAGGGTGAATTTTAATTCTGATACTCCTCAGTTGATTTTATCTGGATGATCTTTAGAAAATCCTCAGCTATAATTGCATTGAGGACTATCTCATAGTCTACTTAAATAGAGTTAAATGCTTGGATAGTATGTTAATACACCACATTTACAATTGTTATGTCAAGTTATTGATTTGATCCCTACATCATTGCAGTACAAACTTGTCATCTTTGGTTGCTTTGATTAAAGTCTAGTAGATGGGATATGTTATGGATACTTCTGCTTTCCTTTGGCTTTCATTTGCATGAACTGCCTTATTCCATTCCTTTTTGTCCTTTCATGTATTGATTAGTGCTATTACAAAGATGATGTAGTTATATATGTAAGATAAAAGTACATTTTTGAACAATTCCCCTCTCTATTTTTTACTTCCATCCTCTGCCACGAGTTCTATAGTTTATTTTCAGCACAGTGTCTAATGTGTAGCACTCCTGCAATTAGTCACCCTTTGTTTCACCCTTTCTGTGGCCCCATGCCCTCCCAAAGACATAAGAACAAACAAATAAAAAGTAAACCAAAACACCAATAAAGAAG